CATCCTACCCCCCTGGGCTCTCCAGCAAATGGTGTACACAGGCAAACTGCCTTTGGCACAAAATTATATTTCTTATTAGACAAGGTAGGTCTTTATTTATTTATTTTTCAATTTATATCCTTCCTTTTTCCTACAAAGGGCTCAAGGCAGCTTACATCTCCTCCTCCATCTTATCCCCACAACAACAACCCTGTGAGGTAGGTTGGGCTGAGAGTCTGTGACTGGCCCAAAGTCACCCAGTTGGCTCCATGGCTGAGCAGGGACTAGAACCCAGTTAGTCTGAGTCCCAGTCCCGTGCTCTTAACCACTACATTGCACTGGCTCTCAAAACAAAAAGTCTTTGTTTTGCTTTTAACTACAAAATGATCAGCATAGCAGAACTCAGTACAACAGCTTATGCACATATGGATTCAAACTCATGAAACATTCAGCATCATTCTAAAGCAAAGTTTCTACGAAAAATCAAGTACAATTAGGTGGGTTGGATGCAAATCCATACCATGTTTTCTATTATGAGTCTATAGGCAGCTCATCAGGAAAGCTGATCTAGAAGAAGAGCTCCTTGGGTTGTACATTGCACTTTTTGGAAGCTATAAATTTTTTATAAACTCCTTTTACTACTTATTTAGGTTACTTATCTAACAATTTCAAAGATGCAGTTCTGCCATAAATCTTTGTAATGTCTACATAGGAATATTGCATTTACAAGCTTTTTATCAAGATAGATGACTGTAACAACCTACTTACACAAACTTCCTTACAGGTGTATTTGTGGCACAAAAGTATTTCCTTATAACATCCTGTCTGGTGAGCTTGATTTCTCACGAGGTATCTGTTGTATTTACTGTCTGGGAGGAGTCTTCTGGTTACCCTATTCAATGCCTTTGCCTTGTAGGCAAATGTTTGATAGTACTCCTTTTTACAGCACTAAGAGGAAGGCAAATGTATGAATTTAACACAAGCCCCTCTTGGTCTGGATCTTTATTGATTTATTTAAAACATTTGTATGCCACCCGATTGTGCCACAGCACCTCAGCAAAGGGTGACAATGATCCATCTCTGATGGCCCGCCATTGCTGCTCCTCATCTAGCAAACCTCCGGGAGGAGGCATTTTATTACTTGCCATTCAGGTGGCCAAGCTGAGTTGTGTTAGCCAATGGAACCCCCCTTTTAATGGCAGATTCTCCTGGAGGCATTTGATTCTAGAATTTTCTCATTGGGCAGCAGAAGCTAGGTGAGGAAAAGAGCTGACTAGTTGATTGACCAACCGGCCTAACCCCCTTACCCAAATGGCTGCTTCCTCATTTGGAGTGTCAAGGCAGGTGGAACAGGAGGAGGAGATACTGTGACTACAAGGCCATGGCCTACCCTGACTTCAGGCTGCTCCTCTTCTCTTAAACAGTATCAACAGAGTTTCCCAGCCAAAAAGGGGAGAGACCTTATTTACTGTCACAGTGAACTGGCACATCATGTCTGTGAATAGAGGAGGCTGCAACTATGCTACTCAGGTATCTCTTACAGAGACTCAATGTATTGTTGTAAGTCTGGGGGACTGCTTTGGATGTCATCATGGGACCCCTTGCAGCTCCACAGTCCAGGACTTTAAAGGTTTCCCCAAACGACTTGCCTGTCAGCATACGTTCTCTAGTAGGCATACTGTGTCAGAGCCTGGGACTTGTTCCCAGTTCTGCCAAAGTGCCCAATACCTTCTTCCCCACCATCTTAACTATGAGAAGTGTCAAGGCAGAGGTCTGTGGGAATGCAAGTTTCTGGAGCTGGTGAAAGAGCTGGATTGAAGTTCTGGAAGGGCACTAATTTCTCTTCCCTCTCCCCATTTGCGAGAGTACAAATCTGTTGAAGCGCTGATGCTGTGAATCTTCATCTACGCTCAACTGGTACAGAGTACATATAAACTGCACACCATCAAGGCACCAAAAACATCCAGTGGCCTCATTTCAAGGGAACTAAATCTCCCCTCAAACTTGTCATCCCTGGAGTTCACTGCTCAGAAAACTGGGAAGCCACAATATTGAGGAAGCAACAATAATTCTCTGTTGAAGAAGTGGTCTCCAAACATTGCTGGACTTCTAGAAGCAGAACATTTGCGTCCCAGTTCTTAAGACACAACTCTCTCTGTACAGTCCCATTCCAATTTGAGAAGCTCATGCATTGCTGGTTTTGAAACTCATTTATTCACTGAGAAAGCTGGTTAACAAGAATGCATATTGCAGCTTTGTTCAGCCTGCTGGATTATCATACCGTTTATTTGGGCGTAGCCAATTATTTGTACTGCTGTTTTATTTACCCTTATGGCTACTGCAGTTAGATATTAAAAGCCACATGCAAGCAATAGAAAACACATTTCAAATAAAATTGATAATATAATAAAGTAAAAATAGATTTTATTGAATCAAATATCCAGCAAAATACATAATTCAGATACAGCACCATTGCACAGAACATACTTCTTTCACTGGGAATGCACTGTAGCAGCAACACGAAGTATTTGCTTGCAGTGTACAAATTCAGGCATAAATAAATACACACTGATTTAAGATTTGCATGTACATATACACACAGGGCTTTGCCTGCACACAGGGCTTTGCCTGTGTTCTGAGTTGCCTCTTTTACACCCTTTTTATGAGTTACAGTATACATTTCCTTCTAGTTTTTCAATTTATTAAAATTAACATATCCCCAATTTTAACCTATCCACAATCATATGCTCAATTGCATACCATATATAAAAGATGGCAAGATGCACAGCAAAGGAGTACTGACATGCCTACGCTCTCCTCCACCAACTCACAGAAAAAGGTTCAAAGCTGCAGATCCAGGGCAACTTGCTGGGATCTGAATACAAATCCCAAAAATTCAATCTGCCCATGTAACAGGGTCTCTCCCCTATCACTCTTCAACAGAGAGGTAATACATGTGTTCTGGTCTGGCATATATTATTATTAATTTCATTTCTATACTGCCCATAGCCAAAGCATTCTGGGCGGTTTAGGGCAAACTGTATGTCTACACACAGAACTGAATGCTACCAGTTTTGGGCTCCTGCCAGGATCCACTACTGGGGAAACTGGTCAGCAATTTGTCTCCCATAGAAGTCATGGAGAAAACCCCATTGCACTTGGATTTTGCAAAGCATCTATTTTACAAGTTCAGTCACGGCTGTTCCACAATTCACATTCACGCATAGATTAGTTTTAGGTTTTAAATGCCCTTTCATCCATCTTCAAAGTCTCCATAAGGCTAAGATGACCCTCGTGCAGAAAGTGCAGGGTTGAAATTTTAGTCTAGTGAAAACAGCTCATCAACAGATCATTTGAAATCAGTCTAGTAGTAAGTTGCCACAGAATGGCAAAGGTTCTAACTTCTTCCTTCACTGGATCTAATGGCAAACTGCTGGAGAAAGGGCAAATATATAGTGTGCAGCCCCTCTGCTAAGTTGCCTCCTTGGGTTCCACGCAGGAGAGCACACCTGGGCCGCCGCTTATCTCAGTCTTTTCCACATGGGACCCCCCAAATGTATTAGACTGGCCCTGCAAGCTGGAGATCAGGAAAGTCGTCGTTGAAAACATTCAGAGGATAGCAAATTGAGGGAGGCTGGCTTATCTGAATGGCATTTTGAAAGGAAGCAAGAGAAGCGGCATAACCCACAGACGCCCAAAGACCACCATAGACTGAGAAACATTAAGACAACTACACAGATAAAATCAGATACTGCCGCCCGAGAGACAGGTTAAAATTAGCAGTAATCCTCATATACATACACATGGGTTCTCCCCATCAAAAATCCATAAATATTAAAACAGTTAATTAGTTGGGCGTAAAGTAGAACCATTATTCTTACTGAAAGATACACTTTGGCTAGTGTTAAATCAGAACAAAAATTGATTAGAGAACTGCTACAAGTGGCAGATTGAGTCAACTACTGACCAACAGTGGTAAGCTTCTGCCTGCATTTCTAAGCACAGCACTACTGACTGTGTAATAGCCACTGGCAGCACTGAACATTATGGGAATGACAGAAAATTAGCAATGGTACCTCCTTGTCCCAGAAAGACAAAGCATGCAAGATCCCAGTATACTACCCGCCTTTAATGCCTACTCTGATTCAGAGAAGTTAGTGTTTTTGTTGTCAGATGCCGATGCATATGTGTCTTATAAGTATCTCTTTTTGCTCTTGCAGCTAAAAGGTAAGAGCTAGGAAGGCTTTGAAGGGGACCTGTCCTGAATTACACCTGGTTTGTCTCATAATATTAAGTTTTGATACATTTGATTTATGGTTTTATTTGTTAATTCAGTGTTTTACCTTAACTTGTACTGACTGACTGACAAGCTTCCAAGCAGAAGGAGTTCCGTGTAGCCGAAGTCCTTCTGACCCATTCTGACCTTCAAGATACAAAGCTCCTCCTCCTCCAATAAGTAATATTTAACAACATATGCAAATTTGGCTTTATGGCCCTTGTTAAATGAAATGCCCGTGAACTCCAGAGCTAAATGAAGACAAAACCAGGTTCTGTAATGATGGCTGCTGCCCTTCAGTTCCCCTGGTGCCACTTTTGTTTCTGCATCCATTGCTTTTCTTTTCAATAATATCCCACAGTGAACAGGTGCTGGTCTTTACACAGTCACTTATCCCATAACAATTCCAGATATAAAGGTAGCAAGCAAGCAAGAGTCTCTACAAGTGTAAATACAGAATACAGGCTAATCTTAATCTGCAGATCAATCAGAAAGAGTCTTGAGAAACAGGGTCTTTCTAAATAACAGCTCACAACTCCAATTTATTTTTGTCTATGCTAACTTTTATCCTTATGATTCTGTCCATGGGGTTTTCATGGCAAGGATACTGAGGTGGGTTGCCATTTCCTTCTCCCGTAGATCACCTTTTGTCAGAGCTCTCTGCTATGACCTGTCCGTCTTGGGTGGCCCTGCACGGCATAGCTCATAGCTTTATTGCACTGACTTTTAGGAAATCAACCCTGACTGCTCTTTAGAACGTCAGGCACTAAAGCTGAAACTCAAATACTTTGGCCACCGAATGAGAGGATTGAGGATTGCTGGGGAGGACTGAAGGCAATTGAAGGAGAAGGGGATGGTAGAGGTGAGGTGGCTGGATGGGGTCACGGCAAAGGTGGGTGTAGGGTTAGGTGTAGGACAGGAGAACCTGGGGGAATGTTGTCCATGGGGTTGTGAAGAGTCAGGCACAACTTTGCAACTGAACAACAACAACATGCTAATTTTTACTTAAAGCTGTACAAGTATTCTATCAATTGTAATCTTCAAATCTTGTGCAAGCACCAGAGGACCTAAATAGCAACCTACTAATATAGCAGTGCTCTGTTAAGTGGCCATATCTCAGGTGATCTGAACTCTCTGGGCAAAACTCAAGTAATTTCAAATAGTGTTTCAGCATTGAGTAGCTTGAGGAAGTAAAATTACTGTATTTACTTTCTCATGTACCTGAAGCCTCTTGCTTCCTTCACCATGTAGGAAGAGCAGAGAAATATGTTTCCCATGTAAACCTGAGGCACACTTCAGGAGAAAGGATTCTTTTGAAGTTTTTTAAGAGAGCTAAGAAGCTAACCAGCATTTCTCTGACACTGGTATCAACAGTGTTAAAAAGTGGAAAGAAGTAGATAAGGAAAAATAATTACATATTTAAAACCAGAATAAATCATTAAAAAAACATTCACTTTTACACCTATTATGAAGGGAACCACATTGCTTGAGTGCTCTTAAAAATGTATCTCTAGCTACACTATGTATATCGTACCTTCATTCGTTTAACTGAGACATTAACAATGCAATCCCATGTATGCTGACTCAGAAGTAAATCCCAATGAATTCAATAGTGCTACTCCCAGTTAAATGTGCAGCCAATAGGTAGAACCCTCAGCTGCCAGGTTACTAAAAATGCACCAGGTATCAAAATGCAATCTGCCCATTTAAAATAGGAAATTATAATATGGATTAATTAATGCCATGCAACAAATTAAAATATCCTTACAAGCAAAGCTTAAATAACCTCAGTTTATTTGCACTATAAACATAGGCTTCATTAAAGTATTTGGGCTATGATCCAATGCAAACATACTTGGAAACAAGCTCTGTGGAACTCTGTGGAAGTTACTTCTGAGTAGACATTCTTAGTGTTGCAATGTACATGTTGCCTTGAGGTTTGGTAATTAGCACATGCAGAGGACTATATTTAGACAAAATAAGTTAGGCCTTGGTCAAAGCAACCTGGCACATTCCACTGTGCTTTTAATCCCAGGATGCTTATGAGCGCAATGTCACTTCTCAGGGCTCTGCCCAGTGACACATAATGAGCATCCGCTCGTGCAGTGGAGTTTCTGCTTGCTGTCCTTCCCCTGCATACTTCAGAGGGTTCCCCACCCCTGCAGCCCACATCTCAGGACACCTGGGAAAGGAAGGATCCATTCTGCCAGTAACTTCCATTCTGATGGCAGACTGGAAGCATTGGATACAAGCCATGTCCTGTATCAGCAGAAAAGTACACAGGAAAAGTACAAGGTTTTTTAAACAGCAAGGATCTTCATGGGCATTTTCAAACGCCTTATTAAGTTTGATTGGCTAGCTTTCCTGGGTCTCTTCCATGACATTTTATCCATCCAACATAGTTGGACATACAAACATACACATCATCTGTGAAAATTGCATTATTTTTTATAGATGCACACACAGTAAAGGGCATGGGCGTTCCCAGTATATGTGCATGAGCCAGAAGTGAGACAGAAATCTTTACACTGGCTGGGTGCCCTTGCATTTTTTCTCACATGTGTGAGCTTATTTGTGTAAAACATTCCTGTTCACATATAAGTTAAATTCCCATTGGATCATAACACAGCACAGCATCAGTCATTTTGATTTCTATACCTTTTCTCTGGTTATTGCAGCCTGTTGCTTTAAAATTTGCTAAATAAATTGTAATTTCAACTGCAAAAAAAAAAAAAAAGACAGAGAGAGAAAAGATGGCTTATTTCTTATGGCTGACTGCCCGCTGCACAACTGTACATCTATAAATAAAATCACTTGTCTATACAACAGTTTCCACATCCATGCTAAATTCTCACACTACCATTCTCCCATTGTGCTTGATAGCAACTCTGCCATGAGGTCCAACCGAGAAAGTGCCGGACTTCGCGACACACATCTCCCTCGCACCACCTTTTGCCAGAGTCTAGCTGATATGCAGTGAAGCGAGATGCAGCTGATGGCATGCGTCTTTGTTGCCTGAGCTTGTTTATGGCTGTTGTTATTAACAATATGCACAGAAAGGCAGAAAAGGAATGTAGCAGAAAGCAAGGAAGGGGATCCTAATATATAACATCCATTAAAAGAAACTGCTGAAAGACTTGCATTTGCTTCTCACCTATTCTGTGCTTGCTGCGATTCCCAAGTCACATGTCATGATCACTAATAAATATTCAACATGGAGAATTCTACAGCAGAGCTCAGCTCTACATTTTGAGCCTGATGCAGCCTTTAAGCTGTCAAACAGAAGTGCTTCAGATCTCCAGACAGCAGTGGTTGTGCCAGGTTAGCAACCTGATTCTCAAGCAATGTCCAAAGAATGGCCTTTGAGTAGTATTAGGATACCCAGTTCTCCACACATTCACTGCTCGGGATCCAGAAGGTTGTCATGTGTAATTTAAGCCAAGATCCTTGCCAGCTGTTCAACATTTTTCCAATCAGGCTGTGACTACAGTTGAGAAGACATAGCATTCCCATCCAGCCAAAGGCCAGTCCTCACACTGCGATAACCGTTCAGATCGACCCCATGTTTGGGCCCAAAGAAGCACACGTAAAGAACCCAGCCCTATCATTTCCCACTGCAGCCTCACCCTTGCATCTGCAAAATAAATATGCTTGGGAACCCAGAAGGAACAATCAGTCTCTGCCGTTGCTCCAAGGGAATCCAGGATCCAGCCAGACTGCCCAAGGATTCTGTGGCAATCAAGTAGTAACAGATCCAAGTGTCACTGAAAGGCACTGGTGGAATTGGAAACAGTTGGGACAATGAGTTCCAAGAGAGACTCATAGGTCCCCACCACAAATCCGGCACAACCTATGAAACTGATGAAGATGTCTTTGACGATGGTGAGTGGGTGCATTCCTTCTGAGTAGTAGGTGGTGATCTCCAAGAGAGGTGGGATGATCAGGGCTAAGGCGCTGCTGCTAACTGAGCCCACCAGAGAGATGACAATGTCCAGTCGAGGAATCAGGATTGCTAGCACACCTGTGAGGGAAAAGAGAACAACTTTGTTAGGACTGGCATCTAAGGAAGAAGTCCAATTCTGGGCCAAGCAAGCGTCTGTGATTGGATGCTACCAACTTAAAACAGTGCTTGTTGCTTAAGTTCAAAGCACTTAACTTTTTAAAGTCAAAGCAGAAGCCAAGACTGCACTGAGACAGTTGATAGTCCAGTGGTAGAGGACCTGCTTTCCATGCACAGGGCTCTAAGCTCCATTCTTGACCATCTTCTGCTAAAGAGTCCCAGGCACCAAGAGGTGGGAACATCACTGCTAAAGACCGTGTATCTCTGCTGCCAGCCACAGTAGCGAACACTGGGTTTGCTGGACATACAGCGCCATTCAGGACAGGGTAGCTGTATAACTTTGGAAGTTCTAGTCTCTGCAAGTATTTTCCCCTCACCATCAGTTTTTGAAAAGTTTAGAGAGACTCTTGCGCTAAAGCTGTACTGTGGTTTCTCTCCCAATCTAATGGGAAAGCAGATGGAAAATTCTCAAGTTCAGTCATCTACCATGACACTGAAGCTGTAAAAAGCATTCCTGATGGATGGATGTAATTCTATTTACATCCTGCCCTCCATTAAAAAAGCAGAACGGGTAAAAATATTAAAATGGAATACAAGAAACAAAATGTGTTTTTCCTTCTGTGGTAAATTGATGAGACAAGACTCAGAGACAAGACTAGAGAAACCCATGGGTACAAATCCTGATTCATTCAATAAGAATGGTAGCAGCTAAAATCATTGTGCTAATGGGATTTCAGTCAAGCAAACCACATCAAGAGACGATGCCCCGACTAAACAGCTCCATATTTGGAGCAGTATAATCATGCCGTGCTGTCTGGAAAAGGTCCCGAAGGCTCTCACTACTTTCACATGTACGAACAGGGTCCTAAGCCAAACTCCAAACCAAAGTGCACTGGAGGAAAGCGCCAGCCTTGTGCATTTGGAAGCCTCCATGCTTCCAGGATACTTTGGAGTGGGCTGGTGGGGGGGGCTGCACTCCAGCCACTTCCCCTCTATTACTCATAAATGGGAGAGATGGCATTTCAGGGCCAGAGTTCAGCAAAGCCAGGACTCTCCTGGCAAGGCCCCAAAGCATTCCCTGTGCTTGAGCAATCTGGTCACTTTCAGGTTAGGCAAAGCATGGGGCAAGCCTTGTGATGCTCAGAAGAACAGCTACCCTGTGGTGGGGCTTAACTGAACTTCTTCCCACTGCTGAGCCACTGATGAGGACACGCTGGCTCCTTCCCTGGCCACAACCAAGTCCCCGGGGCCACTCAGCAGTTCATACCAGCCCACCTCAGCTCTAAGGCTGCCCTCAAGCGTCCAGGGGCAGCAAATTCCTCTCAGCCCTAATACCTGGGGCTCCTTGACACTAGTCCTTGGCATCAAGGCCCTGCAACCTCGCCCCTTTCTCTTTGGGAAAGCTATTCTGTGGCCTGAGGATGCGAAGCTCCCAGCAGTGCCACTGGCTTCCCAGGCTCTGGGCATCCAAACAACAGGACAAGCAGCACAAGTCATTTGGTGCGAGACCCCAAAACAGACCAAGCACCATGGCTCTCAGCACAGGAATCTGAACAGTCACAGTATAAAGTTGCTGGGCGGCAATCAAGGGGATGCAATCAAAGATTTTAACATGGGTTTGAAGTGGTACACCAATTCTGCTTTAGTGAGTTTACGAGTATAATCAGTCTTTCTTTAACAGGGTTGTACAACTTACATCTGGGCCCCCACAGTCTTTCCAGCAGCCTGCTCCTGATCTCTTTGCCTATAATCTCCACTGCTTTCCACAAAGATCCTCTTATAAATTACTCTTTTCCCGTCATTCCCAGCAGCAGAGGGAGAGCAATCGGTATCGAGAGGAAACAGAGAAAAGGCTCCATGTTCTCTGCCTGAGAGATCTTCATGAGGCTCACATGTGGCCCTTGGAGTCAAAAAGGCTATGCAGCCTTGCTTTAAAAGCTGGTTAAATGTAATCTAGGGCTAAAGGCTACCCATTCTGGCATTTAGCACTGAAATACAGGAGACTGGGATGCTGCACTGAAGGTAAAGAAGAACTGAGGAAGTTGAACTATGCAATTGAGTGATAAGAAAACAGGCTTCTTGTACTGCTTTGATACAGAGCAAAAAACAGAACGCAACATTCCTACACTAGTGCATCCAAGAAAATATTACAAGCTGCCCCAGCACCAAAAATATGGTCACAAATAGCAACTTGACTACTGCGAAGCAGAGCGATGCTGAATCCCTGGCATCTGGCAGGAGGCACCCCAGGAAATGCAGCCTGTTCTACGGAGCCATGGAGCCCCTGGACAGTTTGGCCTCCAGTGACCCTCTGAGCTCGGGTTTGCCTCACCATCACCCACCCCTTTCTCAATTGGCTGCTGTGCCACATCCCCACCCCAAGAGACAGCCCTGCTAGAAGAGAGAATACTAGAGAGTGCAGCTATGATATAAACATTCGTTGCAAGCCACCAGCTCAGCTACGCAGAGTACCAGAGACAACAGGGAAGGAAGCATCAGGAAAATTCTTCATCTAGAAAGAGGGGAAGACAGCAGGCAACAGACTCATGGGTCAAAAGTAGTCCAAACAACATTCTTAGTCTGTGCAGAGTGAGATTTGGCTGGTGCTTCTCTCTCTCTCTCTCCCCCCTCCCTCCCTCTCTCTCATTCTCTTTCTCTCTGGAGATGGGCAAGTCTAGCATTGTAAGCTGAAGAGATAAGCTTCCCCCACTCCATCAAAATGTGCACAGTGGACAGGACATCTGTGGAGATGCAATGAAATAATTAATTAGCTGAGAGGCACATACTGAGGAAGAACTGTTCTCCTTCCTTGAATGGGACTACTTAAAGATTAAATCTGACAAGCTTGCATCAGGGCTGATAGGATGTTAAGAGATATTTTTTCTAGAATTTCAGGCAGTTGGATTTAAAAAAAAAAACAGACTAAGGAATTTCATTTTTAAAAGTGCCAGATTTCTAATGTAAGAGAAACAAGAGGGTTGGTGTGCTTGGAGAGTTGTCAGGGGACAAGATATCCTCAGAACCAAGCAACTGATAGCAGTATAACCAATAACCATAACAGCTCTGGAACTCTTTTGGGTTGAAGGCTGGGGCATTTATTTATGCTGAAAATAAATTAAATTAAAACATACATAAAAACTGTAACCGCAGCAGGAAGGCATATTAATTAACTTCATGTAACATCTTTGAAGAAGGTATGAACATAAAAAAGGCTGGATCATGCCAATAGTCTGCCCAGTCCAGCACTCCACCCACATGGTGGTGAACCCGGGCAAGCCCAGTTCCTACCAGACACCCGTGCTTGAAGTATGCAAGCAATACTTTAGACATTCAAAATGGATGCTGTGCCTCGCCCCACTTCATGGATCTTGGCGCATGCCATCACCCCCACATCCCCTTGCCAGATGCTCCGGATTCAGCAGGAGAGTAGGAACTCTTAAGCCTCTGCTGGACTGCGACACAGAAAGCCCACCATGAAGCCTGTTTCTGTCACCCAGAAAAGCAGGGCCTCCGAAAAGCATAATTAATCCCTACGGCCAGAAATGAAGGAACTGGTTTGTTTCATTCAACCAGAAAAATTGTGCTTGTGTGTGAGCACACACTTTCAAGTAGGCTGCTGCTTGTGCAATTTTTAAAAGTGAGAGCTATCCTCCTAAACCCAAGAGATTAGGAAAAGACAAAACCAAACAAACGGAGAGAGTTAGCTAAGCCACAGTGCTCAAGCTCTTTCTAAATGTCATTATGGGTGGGTGGAATTGAAGTATTTGCATAGCTGGGAGAAAATACAGCTTTGGTTATTTGGGATGGGCAACTTGTGGCCATCCAGGCATTTGGGCCTTTTCCTCACGTCTTTTTTGGTTCATAGTCCTTACAGCTTCCACGATCCCTTTGCCAGGAGTTATGCAAGCCAGAGACAAAGAGAGTTCTACATCACAACACCTGGCTGGCCATACGTTCCCACCCCTGCCATAGAAAGAGCCTCCACACTGTCCCACGAGGGAGGAAGCAACTACAAATTCATTGTGAACAACAGCAAGGAAATGAAGTGATTTAATTGGTGGAGTTTGGGACTAACAGAACAATCAAAACAGTGCAAAGCCTCCACCAGCAATAAATGAGCATAAGATGTGTCTGAGCGAGCAGTTAATGCCTTGGAAAAAACAGGTTTGGTGGCTTATTCATCAGAGCAGAAGGACAGGGCATGTCACCCAGTTCACAGGACTGACTGGCCAGGGGGGTGGGTCAGAAAGGAGTGTTCTCAATTCAGTAGCAATGGCTTTAAATGGAGCTAAGGCTAGATCCCATTTTACTTGTTTACTTACAAATTTATTTACAGGAGCCACACCAACCTGGGCCCCTTCAGATGCTTAAGACTACAATTCCCATCAACTTCAGCCAACCGGATTAATAGTCACGGATTATTTATTAGATTTGTATCCCGCCTTTTTTTTTCCTTAAAAAGAACTCAAAGTGGCTTACATCATTCTCCTCCCCCTGCTCTCAATCTTATCCCCACAACAACAACCCTGTGAGGAAGGTCAGGATGAGAGCCTGTGACTGGCCAAAAGTAATTCAGTCGGCTTCATGGCTGAGTGGGGACTAGAACCCAGATTGCCTGAGTCCCAGTCCTGCACTCTGAACCACTAAAGCACACTGGCTCTCATATTATAGATCAGATTATGAATTATAAAGCATCCAAAGCATCTGAAGGAATCAGTGACCTGGGGGATGCAATCTTATGGCAACTTAAAAGTGCGTGAGGAGGTGACACACAGAAATGGGTAGAGACCTGATTTCCCCTGTGGAGGAGGGCAGGGCGCGTTCCAATGGAGCAAAGCTCAGGGAACCAAGGTTCCATTTGGATGCCAGGAAGCACTTCCTGACAGTCAGGACCCCGAGGGTGTGCAGTGGGCTTCCACGGGAGGTCATTGAGGCCCCATCGGTGCGGGTGTTCAAGGATAGGCTAGACATGCATGTGGTAGGCAAGTCATGAGCGGAGCTGGCTAGGTGGCCTGAGAGGCCCCTTCTGACTTGCTCTGTTTCTATGTTTAGAAAGAGAAAAGTCCTACAACTCCCAGCATACCCCAGCCAACATTGGGAGCTACAAGCCTTCTTTTCAGTCTAAGTTTGCAAAGGATTGTGCCTTTGCAACATTTATAGGTAGCCCTATAGCCAGGCTCTTAGGCCAGTTCATGTGAAGTTAAAAGCAAGTTTTAAAAACTGCAGATGTTTTATTTCTATTGCAGACAAATACCCAGGTCAACAAAGGTATATGGTGTAATCAAGCTCTGATTACTAAACTCTTCTGATACACCCGCTATGAAATCTTATGACTCAGATTTATTAAAGGCTGTTATTTCATTATGCCAACTAAAGGAAAGCTCAGACTGCCCTTTTCAAATAAGAGAGGTGGAGAAATTAGAGGCCATTCATGCAGTGACAAGCCAATTTACTCTGGGGAGCAGGAAGACTTACAACCTACAAGCTGGTTCCAGGGCTTTTCCCACTTAGAAAACCAAAACCCTTGCTTAAAAGGTGAACATTGCTCCAAATGGCTTTTCAATCGTCGCAGTTTTACCATCACCTTCACAGTGAAGGAAGTGCTACTGGGCACTATGGAAATGGGGTAGACTGCCACTAGGAATTACCGTTATGTGATAGCATATCATTTTTACTAGGGCACTCGGGGTGGGGGATGGTGCAACCATCATTTTCATATAATCCCCTGGTTTCAGGAGGTCCCCAGCTTTTCCAGGTGGGCCTAGGAAGAAATCCTGCCCGAAATGCAGGAGAGCCACTGCTGGGCAGAGCCAACGAGGCTGGGCTCGACGGACCAGTGGCCTGGCTGGGCATGAAGCCTCTTCCTCTGGCCCTCTGGGATGCCAAGATGCACTGTCATTCTCAGGTGCCTCCCAGCTCCATTTTCCGCGCATGCAGCAGTAGCCACGCACCCTGCACCATCAGGATGGTGGTAATACAGCCACATTGAAGAGACACCCAGCAGCCCCTGACAAGCAACTTGGACAGAGGCAGAAAACATCGCTTTCCTAACGCCCAACCCATCTTCCAGTTTTGCCTCACAACATTCCAAGCTACAGTTTAATTTGAAAGAAGCAAATAGGATTGGAATGGGATTTACTTTGTCTGCCTTTTTTTTTCTTTTTTGGTAATAAAGAGACAGATCAGTTTAGCATCTGTGCACACATTACCTGGATGTAAGCCCTGCTGAACAATGTGGGCCTTACTTTCTAAGTAAGCATAGCTAGGAATGGGCTGCATGGAAGCCCGTGAGCGCGGCTTCCGAGGGGGGAGGGTGCATTTACACTCCCCCTTCTGGCTCCACTTTCCTCTGTTCTCCACAGACATGACCCTGCTGCTGAGTGCTCAATTGATCCAGTGAATTATCGGTCTGTCAAGACGTGGCATAGCGTGCCCTTCCTATGACTCAGCCTGTTACACCTCACCACAAGGAGGATTTGAACACCCCTTAAAAGATTGAAAGCGATAGGCAGCCAGACTAAATTATCCAGCTGCAGCTTCTCAGTCTTCAGGGAAACATGCTTATGCTTGTCACTGATATTAATTCAAAGGGCCTTTAACCAGACCTCACTCCTCTTTGGCTTAGCACTTCAAAACCCCAAAACACACCCCCTTTTGGACACCCAGGCAGATCCGCTCTGAGGCCATGAGACCATTGTGATTAATATTCATGCAGCCCACTTAATAGCTTTTATCCTTCCTGAAAGCCTGGTGAGCTTATGTTCTGAATGCACAATGCTCACCTGGGATACGCACTAGAAAGGAGTCTGTGTCTTTCCCCCACAGCACCTTTCTGACTAATCTCTCTATCTGATGGGGGATCACTTACTGTCAGTGGCTGTCAGACACCAAAACCCAACCACTTCAGCCCCTTGTTTTTCCCAGGCATTTCATTCAAGATGCGGGGGGGAGGGGCACTGTGGGCACGTGGATGCTGGATCCAAAATTTACCAAGTTTACCTGTTTTGGACAGGACTGCACTTCTCCTGAACAAAAGGGTGCTTAGTCTAGACATGTTGCTAGATTCATCATTGACGCTGGAGGCTTGAGTGACTTCCAGAACATGGAGCACTTTAAACCAGCATCAGCTGGAAAATCAACTACCCTTATTCCTGGATACAGATAGCTTAACCTGGGGCCTGGGCTGCTGCGATGCACTCTGTGTGGGACGCTCCCAATGCTATCTATCTATCTATCTATCTATCTATCTATCTATCTATCTATCTATCTATTTAACTTCTATGCCGCCCCATTCGCCGAAGCCTCGGGGCAGCTTACAACAATAAATACATATAATCATATAAAAACAATATAATTGGAAATGCCCTGGCCAAAGATATAAAATCCATAAATAAGCTAACAATTAAATTGCCGTTTAAATAAAAAGCTCTTCGCCTGGCGCTGAAAAACAAATAACGACGGCACCAGGCGGATCTCTCTGGGGAGCGCATTCCATAGATTGGGCACCAACGCAGAGAAAGCTGCCCTCCGAGTACTTACCCTCCTAATATCCTTCACGGAGGGTTCCTGGAGAAGGGCCTCTCCCACTGATCTCAAGGGGCGGAAGGGCATGTATGGACATAAGCACTCCTTTAGGTAACCAGGACCCAAGCTGTTAAGGGCTTTATAGGTGATAACCAACACCTTGAATTGGTCAGTTCAATGCTAGTTCAGAAGCTGCAGTTAATGCAGAATGCTGCAGCAGGGCTGTGGAGCAGTCTGCCTTGATGCACATGTATAAAACCAGCACTGAAAGAGCTTCACTGATGCCAAAGCTGCGATTCCTTTTGATGCATAATGCCCAAAACAACTTAGGACCCACTTACCTGAACTACTGTTTCCCCTCCACAGACCTACTAGATACAATAAGATTAAAAGGAAGCCTTGCTTCTTTGTCCCACATCCTGCAGAGTCTCATCTGGCGGCAGCACAGCAACCGGCCTTCCCTGTGGGTGCTCTCCCTTTGGCATGCCTCACTTCATCAGGCATCATGTAAGCCTTGCAATGCTTACTAAAAAGCATGCTTGTTCACTCTGCCTTTTCCAACCATTACTTGACTTCACGCCATTCCGTTTTTATAAGGGTGTATTGTTTTACAATTTGTTATAAACTCGGGGATTTTAGAATACTTCCTTTAAGCCCTGTTTTTTCCCCAAAAATGGAAAGCAGCATAGAAATATGTTAAAGTACCATAAAGGAATTTAAGTTTGATCATGGATGCAAGAATAACCTTGGCAAATGTTACATTAAATTTCTAGAACTTGTATGCAAATCTTGTATAACTTACTTATGCCTCAAGATGCCTTGATAATTCCAAACAATATTGTAGCTATAATTTAGCAAAGGGAGGTAAGTAAAGTTGAGATGTTTACTGCTGTGATAGCATATTGTAATTTTCTTCTTCCCATGTGCTCTCCTCAAGAGCAAAACTAGCCTTATCTACAGTACTACTTCTCAAGCTGGGCACTGACAAATCCATCATATAAAGATAAGAGTATCAATGGCTACTAGTCATGCTGGCTATATTTTACTAGCATTGCAATATATTACTATTATAAACTATCAGAGGCACTGAAGACTTCCCTCTAGAGAAAGAAAGCAGGGAATTTTAGCTGATCCCCCATTTTCAGTCCCACTAAATTGTTCCCGAAGGTCTCCTGATCCTACACAACACATTGTCAAAGAGCGTGTGAGGGAGGAGGAGGGAAGAACAGACTCCCCCTCCCCCAAACACTTACTTTAGCAGGAGTGCCTCAAATACATGTTCCCACTCACAGGAGCACCATGTCCAAGATTTTATCAGTAGCTATTGAGTTAAAATGGACTCTACGGGTAAATTTTGACATGGGAATCCAAGCTTCATCTTCACAACAGGAATTTTAACAACTCTGAGTAACTTCTCAGCAGCACCACACAGCATTATTCACGTCAGGTGCCCAAGCAGAGCCATCTCACTAGAGCATGGGTCCTCACGCTACGGCCCAGGGGCGGGATCCAGCCTGCCAAGCCCATTTGGACCCGCCACGCATGCGCCCGTGCCTATGTGCACACCCGCCATCATCCACCTCACCCTGTGCGCATGGAGGCAACAATCTCCAAGTGAGCAAGCCGCTGCCTCGTGCGCTCGCCTTGCAGCATGTGCGCACCCCCACCTTGCCTTGCCTCGCCTCCCCTCACTGTGCAGCCCGCTTCTGCCTCAGCGCATGTGCCCATGTGCCCCACCCCCATGCCGGCCCACGCACACTGCCGGCACCACCTTTCCAGCCCGCGCCCAGCACTGGCACCTTTCTACTGGCCCCCTGGTTAAAAAGTTTGAGGACCCCTGCACTGGAGAAAGGTGGGACAAATCCCACCACCACGAAGAGGGATGCCCTTAGCTGAATTAGTTGGTATTCAGGCCATTTCTTTCTTGTCAAATGGAAAGAACACACTCTTCAGCTTTGGTGCCTTACTCACATGTTAAGCCAACCAGTAACACCCTCAGCAGCAAATTGACCCAAAATGCCCAGCGTTCAGAGACTCGAGAGGTGGCCATTGGAATTATTATTTCCGCAGGGACGTAGAATTGCAGTGCGTAAGTGAAGAAGATCCCAATGGAGTATAGCAGTTTGACAGACTGATACAACCTGCAAAATAAAATTAAAAAAACAAGAAAGGCAATGCATTAACACTTAAATTCACTCATCGTCCAAGGCCAGCCTTCCCCCACCTTGTGCCTTTCAGACACATTTGGACTACAGCATCCAGAAGTCTCAGTCAATGGTCCTGCTGGATGAGAACTCTGGAAGTTGCGGTTCAAATGCCTCTGAAGGCCACCAGGTTGGGGAAGGCTGTCCTAGACAAAGACTTAAATCAAACACAAAAAGGAAGATGATCCAGTGACAAAGCAAACTGAGAATGTCTGTGTTCCCCAGTCTGTGGAACATCGTATGACTTTGGCAGGCATTTATTGCTTGCAGAGGTGAAAGCAAGTGTTGCTCCTAACCCAGAATTTTGCCCACACCAAGCATAAAAAGGACAGTCACATGGCCTGCTGAAATGGCTTTGCTGCTATGCAATGAGGCACAGATCTCCTAGAGAAAGAAATGCCTTCTTCAGAGCCCAGAAGACAGATGCTGAAGAGTCATGTGTCTCCAAGTAATCAGACAACCATGAAGTTTGCATTCAAAAATAATCACAACATCACGGGGTCTAAAACATCATGAGTTCTTGTCTTAAAGTGGACACTGGGAAACTTCCCAACTGTGCAGACTTCTGTTCAAAGGGTGTTATGCTGTTCAGATGGCAAGAACTTTCACCTGATTTTACAAAAAGAGGTCTCCTGAAATTCAACATGGAACAAGAAATTGACACAGAAGAATTAACAGTTCACAGCATAAGTAAATATGACTGTATTGCTGAAGTCTACCAATAGCACACAATTACACAGCATAACTAATAGAGGTGTATTTTGAAGATAATGAGGAATGTACTGGATGACCCTCAAGAGCAGAAATGGAAATGGAAATGGAATCAAGTCTTAAAAGGCAGCATTCCTCCATTTAACTGTGCCTTTTCATCTCAGGATAACTCTGCATCTGTACAGATAGTTATACAGAAAGGCATCTGGTTAACCAGTATTGTCCTTATGCAATTCTAGACTGTGACTGTATTTGTGACCGCTGCATTTCAATTAAGCACAGTGTGGAAAAAGTGGATTGGAAGACATTTCAACACACACACACACACACACACCATTAGAACCAGGGATCATCCATCCCATGAACCCAAATAGTGGGAGAAGAGATAAACTCCTGAAGATTGAGACTTCCCAGGGGATGGGTTGAGTCGAGTCATGATAGCTATTTTATTTATTCAAAATCTTCTTAAGCCACCTTTTACGGCCTCGCGATAGGGCTCATAAGCAAGAAACAATGTGCTACTTCTCTGATGCCTGAATACCACTTGCTTTGGAGGTTTTTGCCTTGGAGTCCTGCAAGTGAGTGCCCCATTGGCTTTTGCTTGCCCGGTGTGGGAAACGGGCAGCTGGACTTTGCTTTGATCCAGCCTGGCTTTTCTGTTGCTATGAAGACACTGGTTATGACGGGGGCTGCTGGGCCCAGTTTAGGCCATCCATTTGGGAGGAGGATGAATTCAGACTGCGCCAGATGCAAGGAGGAATAACCAGGAAGATTACAGGAGCATAAAGTCAGCAGGACTGAAATAGGAAGAGAGAGAGCTTGTCTTGTGTAACTTAGGAAGAAAAAGAGGGAGCTGAGAGGGATAAATATATACGGTGGTGACACAATATTGTACCCAAAAATGTGACTGAGAGGCCTTAGTAGGTGCGGTTTGCTCAAAGGCGGGGGGCTGCAAATATAGTTAAGAAGTGCAAACGTTTTTTCCCTGTGAAGTGTGACATGATTTATTTTGGCTCCATCTCCATTTGCGACATCAGCTAGACTGCATAGGTGAGTTGAAGGCAAGGGGAAGGGAGGTGGTAAGAGGCTGGTAGAAAAAACAAATTGAGTCGCTTGCAGTTGAAATAGATCCATTTCGGAGTTTTCCAAATAGGAATTTAGTCTTCATAAACACTCACAAATTCTGTTTTGAAAATAAAATGTGGTTTTTCCCCCAAGGAACCCTAATCCTAACCCAGGTCCAGTCTACTGTTACTGTTAGAAGAGGCAGCATTCAACTGCAGTCACCAAGTGATAGTTTTGAATGTATGGTCTGGAGCCATATGCCAAGGGCCATGCATACTGCAAAAACCCCACACCAAAAACACACAGCTACACACTCAGGACAGGAAAGAATTCAGCATTTTGCTGCCATAATTATGCAAATCTAAACTCTTTGTTTGCAGTTCATATTTTCTTTGAAATACATCCAAAATACTTTGGCAACTGAAGAAAGTGTCATGCAGACATGGAGACTAGATAGGAAAGGAAAGAGAAACTTTGGGAGAGGGACAACCAATGGTTGGTTTGTTTATTATATTTATATCCTGGGTTTTTTTTCCTTTTCAAGGCAGTTTATGTAAGTTTCCTCCTCCGCTTAATCCTATCCTCACAACAACCACCCTGTGGGATAGGTGGACCTGAAAATCTGTGACTGGCCCAAAGTCACCCAGTTGGCTCCATGGTTGAGTGGGGACTAGAATCTGGACCACCTAAGTCCCAGTCCCAAACTCTTAATCACGATACCACACTAGCTCTGTTTAGGCCACTGAAGTTTTCAGCAAAGCGTAGACCTTGTGTTTTCCTTGAAACATACAAATGGAGCAGTGCGAGGAGAGGAGGAGGAAGAGCAAGGTTTTCAGGATATCTTTATACCAAAATACTTGAACTGAAACATAATATATTACCATCAACACTAACAGAAAGCCAGTGTGGCATAGTGGTTAGAAAGCTGGACTGGGACCCAAGAGATCCAGGTTCTTGCCCATCACTGGATGATTCTGGGCTAGTCACAGTCTCTCAGACTAACCTACCTCACAGGGTTGTTTGAAGACAAGATGGACAGGAGGAGAATCTTGTGGCCCTACAGTTGCCATTCTCCAACAATATTTTCAGAAAGCAGACTAAAGCAAGTGAGTGCTGAATTAGAACTTAGCAAGATTTTTGATTTCACACATTTTTCCTTCCAAAGGAAGGAAGGAAGGAAGTATATGAAGCACAGTAAGTTGCCTATTTATTGTTAAACAAAGAATGTCCCTATATCTGGCTGATTTCTGTTTAAAGAAGCACGGAATCCATTCTGAACAGCCCTCTTGCACACATTCAGTGGGACTTCAGGAGCTTCTAACCCAGGAGGAAAACCACCTGCTGCCTCCCCTTAAGGCCCAGGCAGCATGGCAAATGGTCAGATCTACAGACCAAAACAGCCAGAAGGGAACAGACTGCCTACCAACTGGTCTAAGCTTTAAAGTGCATCAAGATCTGACCATTCAATGCAGCATGAAAAACTTTAAGGGACATCAGTAAATTTCAGAAATAAACACTTCAATCTTATCCAAGAGGAAAAATACATAGAAGGAGGTTGGGTTTAAGCAGCATTTCTATTACCTGCTCTAAATATATCCCAACAGGTGTTACTAGGAAAGGTGACACAATGTGTGTGCTTCTGTTTGGCAACAGTGCTCTGGTAATTGGTAAGCAAAGCTAACAGGAGCTGAGGAGGTCAGGTCATCAAGGGGAACAAAAACATCCTTGTGAGATGCTTCTGCAACTGCCTGATGACTTTTCTGATTAAGTTATGTAAATACAGACTAACACTAGGGCGCATTCCATCCCACAGCACAGGACAACTATAGGCGTAGTTAGAAATGAGTATTCTGCTGATCACAATCCTAGAAGGCAGACAGACTGTTCACTCTGCTTACATAGTGGCAGATTTTCAGCACAGGCAACCGAAAAAAAGGAGCTACCAGCAAACTAAAAGAAGGCACCAAATCCAGACAGACCAAGGAGTATATATATGAGAGGGAGGGAGAGAGAGAAGGAGGGAGGGAGCTTGTGTTGCATCACATCTCCCTGTACGGCAAGTTCTTCCTGAAGTTCCTCATAAGGAACCAAGTACAACCCCAGAAAAGGAAAAAGCTTTTCACAGCCTTGGTGCTTTCTACAATTGCTGTATTTGCTATTTGCCTAGAATTTCTAATGCAAGCTTGCAAGACTGAACATCCCAACATGGATAGCAACAGGTATAGAAAATTTGACTTTTACTCCATTTTTCCAAATCTTCCTAGCCAAGACAGCCATGCTGCTTGGGGCCATTTCACACATTACATGAAAGACCAGCTCCCTTTGGCCAGCTAATGTCTTGAATGCAAGGACCATCATGCACGAAGAGGAACAGTCTGTCCAAACAGAAACCTGATGCCATGAATAAAGGTCAAGATATAAAAGCATGGTGTAGGCTAACATTTCTGATCCAAGGGAATTGAGGTTAATTCTGAAACAACAGGTACAGTGTCTTGCAAAAGTGTTCTGCCTCTTTACAGCATTGGGTATCTTGTGTATATCAAGTTGTAACAATGCCAACTAAATCCATTTCAATTCCAGCTTGCAAATCCATTACAATTCCAACAAAAGGTGGGACAGTCATACTTTTGCAAAGCACTGTAACTGCAATTCAGGCACAAAGGATGGAACACCAGCCACCTAGGTGTGATGGGTGACCTTCTTGACTCCATTTGTTAACTGCAGCTGAGAAGGGGCAGCTTTACACCTGGTACAGACCACTGGCCTTTCTCTTGGTCAATTCAAGCTTTACTTCTGAATTTGCCTAGGAGTATCCAAATTTGGAAAACATCTAGAAGTTTTTAAAGGGCTAAGTGCTGAACACCCACATGGTAAACTGAAACAGAAAGAAACCAGCAGGGCAGCCTGCAGCCAAAGAGGGCATTTCAATATCCTTGAAGCAAGAACTGAATGCTGCTTAAAAATCAAGTGCATCTGAAAACCAGCCTTCATTTTAAAACTCCCAAAAGTTGCACAACCTGTTTTTGGATCAGCTTAAACACCACAAAGATGGGAAGCAGGCTTCTGGGAGAGATGGAGACCACAAGCCAGAAAGATAACCAATGAGGCACCCGAACCAGTTGGAAGACGATACATACACACACACACTCCACCTCCACCCACCCCAGCACAGGGCCGCTGTCCCAGTTCCCTTGCAAACTGCCCCTTGCTCACTGGCATCCATCCAGGCACTTCCATTCACCACCCGTCCAGCGGGCACTGCAGCTGCAACGCCCGCTTGCATCAGAGCAAGAGGAAACCCCTTGCCTCAACTCACCAACAGTTGGGCAGATTGAGAGTTATACTGGGCTGGATTTTGGCTCCAAAGCGCAAGTATCCCAATGCTCCCAGGCTGAGGTAGAGGATGCTGACAATTCCCATTCCCACATAGAGGATGATGGGGAAGTGCTGAGGGTTCTTCATCTTGTTTTCGAGAGGAAGCACCTTGGTGAAGGAAAAGAAGTAAAACATCTAATTAAAATTAAATCACAGAATGCGTCAATTTACCCTTCACTTTCATAAACTGCAGCCCATGAACTCTGCTACATTATTTCAACCACAAAAAGCACCAGTATATAGCCAAGTTCCATGTAGCTCAGCCTTTGTCTCCTCAAAGAAGTCAGATGCCAACCGTGGGTTAATCTTCAGCATCTGCTAGGTAGAAACACATTTCCTAGACAAGAAAAGATTGTTTTTGACTATAAGAAATGAAGCAGCTACCAATATAAGCCTTTAAAACTGTAAATTCAGGCAATTCTCCCATCACAGCCATCCTGAAGCAAGGAGTTCTGTGCATTAGATCTGAATGAAAACAGTGTTTTCATCAGTTAATACAGTCAAAAGCTGTTTTCATTACTGATAAACCATTTCCACCTTGAGCTGCACTAACTCTAAACAGGAAAAGACTTCCATTCCTTGAAGAAAGGACTGTGACAATTTCTAACTCTTCCCATTCATACACAAGCAGTGGTTTGCACTCAAGCTAAGTGGTTCATCATAAGTGGTTTATTTAAATCACAGTGGCTTAACTTAAATAAGTTACTACATGGACATTCCCAGCCAGATGCCACTTGTGTGTCATCTGAAACTGGGAATTATAGCTTGTCTGAGAGGGAAACACTCCAAAAGCCCAACAGTTTGGCTAACACAAGAGGCCATGTTCAGGCAGTGATTATGGAAACCGGGCCCAGCATGCACCACAGCTTAAAATAAGTCCCCCATGGCTTGAAGATGCTGTGGCAGCTTACTTTGATCATGCAAACTGGCCCAGTGCCTTAATAAACTCTCCTAGGACATGAAGTATGCACATTACCACCTGTAAAGGGAACTGCCACCATGGTGCAGGATGTTCTGTACTTCTAGAGCATAAAGCACTTTGAGCTTTGGAGTTTACACAGATAAGAAGGAAGTAGCAGCATAATTAAGTCACATTCCATCCACACCTTCTGCCGCCATCTCCCCCTTGTTGACTAATGCTCAGTGGATCAGCTTTCCGTGCCACGCACAGCTGGAAAAGGGCTGGTGATATAACCACTACTCTTTAATGCCTCAGCTCTGCAAGCCATCTAAAACCCATTTGCCTTCTTCATTATTCTCTGCCATTCTGGTAACTGCCCAACAAATGCAAGGCTTTCTTCCTCTGTTGCAAGAAGGGAAAGGCACATCTTTCTATTGTTTTTATGTATTATTTATTAATTTGTTAGGTTTATATCCCACATTTTTCTCTTTTAAAGAACTCAAAGCAGCTTACATCATTCTACTCCAGCGCTCAATTTTATCCCCACAACAACAACCCTGTGAGGTAGGTTGGGCTGAGAGCCTGTGGCTGGCCCAAAGTCATCCAGTCGGCTCCATAGGCGATCTGGGTTCTAGTTTCTGTTCAACTAATTCAGACCCATGCTTTTAACCACTCTCATGTTCCCTGTAATGTGGGAAAGGCCCACTAGAATACGCTGCATGGGAACCCAACAGAACTGATGCTTCACTCAGTGTACATGTGACAGGGTAAAAATGGCACATTTATAAATGGGAAAGGAGTAACAGAGAGAAAAAAATCAAGACTTTCCTATTGAAAAAATAATTAATGAGCCAGTTTTATAACATATACTAATTCACTGATCTCAAAATCAACCACAGATAAGTATGGATGAGATCTGGAAGTCCTCACTGTTAACAGGTGAATCATATTTCTGAATGCAAGTCATCTATCTGCAAATAGTTTTCAATAAGTATTTTCTGTTTTTCCTTAAAAATGTCAAAGCAGTTAACAAAAAAAGTCACTGAAAACAGAGAGCTATAAAAAAACTGGCAGTAAATCTACAGTTCGACTCTTTAACATAAAATTTTGCACACCAGGTCAATTTCCACACATTTCTTTAGGTTGCTTTTTTTTAGTTCTTAAATTTAAGGTGCGATTCTATGCACCTTTGGGTGGAAAAAAGGCATGGTCATGCTGTGAGTCGTAGGCCTTTTTCTGTACAAATTTGCATAGGATTGCACCTATTGTGGTTTTTTTATACAGTACAAATGCAAACCAACCCATGGGTCTTTTGCACTAAGCTATGGCCAGAGCTATGCTTGGGAGAAGTTATCACCGTCTTAATCTCCAGACAGGGGACTTCTATTTTTATAGTTAAAACCACTCCTTAACATTCTGGCTAGATGTACATCACTACAACGTAATCTCTTTGCTTCTTATCCTTCTTTCAGCACTATTACAAAACCCATTCTCTTTCAGTACCGGCCTCATCATTAGACAGATGAGGATAGAGCCACGCTATCATGTTCCTTGTCTTAGATGCCATGATTCCTCAGCTAATGCATTTCAGAATGACATTTCTAGTTATGGTAACAAAATTACCATTGTAGAAAATTCATCTGAAAGCACTACAAGATAAAAGACAAATTACCTGAGAGTAAAGGGAGGCAGGGGAAAAGAGAGATTGCTCAAACCTGCTCCCTTTGATCCTATGTACTTCTAGAAAGTAACACGGTGACTCAAAAAATCAGCACAGGAAAAACTGTTTGGGTAAGTTAACTCACCCAAACAACTGCTCTGTGCTACAAATGCATTTTCAAATAATAAAATTAAGCTAGGAAAGTTGGTGTAAAATTTCTTGAAACCAAAACGGTCATCAGACATCACCAAAACACTGTTTGGCCTAATGCAACAGTTTAGTGATAGACCACCAAAGTTTACATGAATTCTCTCCAAAGTCTAAGGCTGAGGCAGCAAGGAATAGATGCCTAGTACAGCTGGCCTCATCTTGTTTAGGAGGCAGATGACCACTGCTGCGGGATTCCTCCTTGATCAGGGAGGAGCCGCCCCACCACCAAATGATCCCATGGCTCAGTCACGCCTCCACAACTTACCACTCCAATGCCTTCAAAAGCAAAGATAGCTGTGCCAAAAAACAGAGGAAATGTCTTCCATGGAGCCACCATAGGCAGGTGGGAAGGGTCTGGAATGTCCTGGCAACAGGCAAAGAAAAAGAGAGGTTAGATTTGGGGGTGGGGCAGGGAGATGAACCAATACAATAACTCAAGTGGGAAAGAGTTCCAGCAGGACATTACTAGAACATAGAAAACTGGCTTATACTACAGCAGACCAGTGTAACTCAGGTTCATCTAGCTAAGCTTTGCCTATACCAGAGGGGATCAACTTGTGCTGTTTTGGCCTACAGCCTCCATCAGCCTTAGCCAGCACAGCCAAGGAGGAGAGATCATGGGAGCTGTAGGCTAAAATACTTGGAGGGCCACAGGCTGCCCATCCCCAGGCTACTCTGGGGAGCAGCTCCCCAGAGTCTCAGAACAAAGGTTTTATTGCCCTACCTAGAGATATGCTGGAAATGTCTGCATGCAAAACATGCACTTTTCTACCCAATTTCCCACTCCATAAGGATGTGCAGAATCTGAAAACTCCAACAAATCCCTACTGAAAATGGGAGAGTGGAAGCCAACCAGCACCACAGTAACCATTATGCAACACCTGCTGTGCTTTTTCCCCAAATATGGCTAAGCATGAGCAGTAGCTTTCTTGCTGTGCAAGTGGTGGCCGGTCTTTTTGGCTTGCAGATAATAATAAATCATTTAAGTATTTTGCTCCTTGCTTATGGCTCCCTGTATTCACTTGGTAGCTAAATCCGTCTGCTTCTGCATTACAGCAATCTAGCTCCCCATCAATCCTCCATCACTCCAGCTGAACACATTGGCTCATGCCACAGCTATCTTTGGCCATGATGCTGCCTCCTTCTTTCCTCTGGTCTTCCCATCTAATCCAGAACAGCCTGGCTTCATTTTATCACCTGACGTGTGACAACCACCCCTTGAATTAGATCACTTTCACCTACCAGAAGTGTCCCGCTGCCCACCTTTGTAACAACTAGCCCTTAGTCTCTCAGCCCTTAATTTCCCCTTTTCCTTTCCTTCAAATGCCTCCTCGACACATACTTCCTACTTAAAAGGCTTTGCTTAACCACTTAGTCCGTACACCCTTCTGATGGCAGCCAAAAGAAATATTAAATATACACAGTGCATTTGACTGTACTTGTGCTGTTATTCTTGCCTTGCTTCTCTCTGCTTCTGCTGAAATTTAAATTGTAAGGAAAGGGTGGGAATCTGCCTTTAAAAAAACCCTCTTTGTAGCTTTGTAGCACTGATGGTAGTATATCAAATAAATAATCCATTAACTGGAGTGACCTAACATTGAAACTGCAAGATGAGTCTTCAGTGGCTTGCATCTACAGATAGCCATTCCTAAATGGCACGACTGGTACCAAAAAGGACATTCAGAATGGCGCCTCTGTTGCCATTTCTATGCACATACCCTGACAATATACTGGAATATCATTATCAGGCTGCAAAGCATGAGAATGTTGGCCAGCATGGAGAAGATGGAGAGTATCTTGAGATTCTGGATGAAGACAAGCAGTACCACGAATGGCAACAAGGACAGGATGTATAACTGGGAACTCATGGTTGGAGCCATGATCGCTGTTTCATTGGCGCTGCAGTCGTTGGTTGTGCCATTGGCAGCAGATATCACCTGAGGGATAATGCATTGAGAGAAACGGCTTTCAAACCAGCTTTGCTTTCTCTGGTCAATTTGTAACATGATCATGACAAAATACGTCTCACAGGAAGTGAATATGGGACTGTCTTGTTCCAACTATTGAAATATAAGTAGCTAAGGCTAAAGAGTCCAGTTTGCACACTCCATGTACTCTAGAATCCATGTTCCAGGATTGCAGGGGGCAAAGAAGTTTTATACAGTTTTCCTTGTACGTTTAAAAAGAGCACCCTCCAGATATTGATGGAAGGGTAACTGTCCTCTGGATAGAAAAATGGTGGTCGCAGAATGTACACATTTACTATTTCAAAAAGAAGAACAGAACCAGTTTGCCTTCAAAACAAGGTTGGGCAATAGCAGCTGCTGATACAAGGCAATCTGTTCTTTCCTACTACTGCACTTTTCAGTTGAAGCCATTTTCATGAAGCCTATCAGGTGAAGGAACTGAGATCTGGATGAGAGTGAGAGAGTTCCTAGCTATAGTAGACACTTAGTCCGGAGGCTGAACTCGTGGTTGAATCACCTAACAGCCAAAAGGAGAATCCTAAGTGCTGATAGATAAATAAATAGGAATACATTTATCTCACATTTGGAAAGCAACTGTTCAGTGGGAGATTATAGGTCTACCAATGAGAGATGGGTGCTTTATTTTCTACTGTTTACAATGGATGAATACTAATAGGCGCACTGCCTTACTTACAGTTTCCCCAGAGCCACAACAAGCCGTTTCACTAGCTTACTGGGCTACAGAAAAGTGAGACACGAACTCATGTTTATGGTGACTTTCTTCTCCTTTAAGTCCAACGGTTATATTCTAAAAGTTAACCCCTTTTAATGCTCCGCCCAAGTTTAAAAATAGGAAGTATACTAGTGCCCTAATGGTACAAAGGGGTTTGGTAGTAATTAGAACCGTAAGCCTCACTATGTGTGGCATTAAATTGAAACAGAGGGTCTGTTTTTTTTAATACTAAATGTATTTAAAACATTTCTCGATTTAGATGAAAGTCACACAATTATAATTTAACTGGATCACCCTGACTACAATATTATTTACCTGAAATGGTAAATGGATTTGCCACACAGAGCAGACAGCCGCAAAACATTAATTTAATTGTGAACCCATCCTCCTCCATGAGCATTCTTAGCCAATTGTGAGGTGGTGTGATGAGAAAACCACTAAGTCATGTGTGTAAAACCTCAGTGCAGAACAGTGACCGTAAAACCCAGTGCTTCCCCTTAAAAAGGATGGAAAAAACATCCTAAACTCATATTAATATTCTCCTGCCTCTGATGAAACAGGAAGTTTCACTAAACTTCATTAAACAGCATGTTTCAGAACAACCCAGCATTGCCTCCCACAGCAAACCACAGTTTCCGTTTTCACACACAAGCTCCTAACACAGCCATCCTGAACAAACTAGTCTCAATAACAGCCAGCACATGCAAAAGCTGAAAACCCATTGCTTTACAGCAATGATACACTGGATACACTCCAGTGATGTATTTAACAGGCTGATTATTTATTTACATTTATATCATCTGTTTTGTGATTCACAATATCTGTTAGATGCACAATATCTGTTGGATACTATACATCTAATATGTTTTCAATTTCACTATTCTAGAACAAAACAAGGGCAACATCTCTACCATGCTAAGGAAAGGCAAAGTTAGATTTATAGGACCACCCAAGTGTTCCTATACCATAGTTAAAACACTCTTTTGTCACAAGCTTAAATAAAAATTAGGGCATGAAAGGGTGAAAAGTTAGGACAACTCTAGTTATGAGAACAAGGCCCATCTGGTTACACGAATGATGAAGATGCTAAAATTAGATGAGCTCTTAAATTCCTGAACTCTCACCTATGCTGCATTTAGACATGACACCATATTAAATTATGCTGAGTCTTACCTGTTTTAGATTGTCAGCCAGGAATACAAAATACACACAGCAGAATCCCAGCTGAGTAAGGATTAAAAAAAAACCCACTAGGTACCTGCAAAGTAGTAAGACACACATGTGAAAGATGAACAATTACAACAATTCAACCTGATTGAAACATTGAGGCTTGAGAAGTGCTTTCAGAACAACTTCTATTTAAAAACTTGTCATAGTCACAGAAATCTGAAAGCATGCTAGCAAAAAGGGTGTCTCCTAGAATACAAGTCATAATGTCTAAGGTGTAAGTGGCAGCAAACTCCAAGAAAATATAACTTGTTATTAAGTCTGCATCCTCTGAGTGTTAACATTGAGTTGGGGCCCTAGAACAAAAGTGCAAAACCTTTGAAAGGCACACTTTGCAAGACATTTTGAGGTTAGCCATCACCACATTAACTCCACTGTTAATACAGTTTAGTTCTTGAATGTTTCTAGATGTCTGGTTCTCTATTGTTTGGTGATTTTTAGTTTGTGAGGTCTAAAGAGGGGCATGAAGTGTACTTGGCTAAGTTTGGCTGACCCCATGTTTGTTCAATCCTTGCTCCTTATGGCTGATTATACCTGGCAAGGAGCAGACAGCCGTTTGGGTCCAGGAGGTCATCAACATCTCTTTCAGAGATGGAATCGTCCCAGCCTCCTTAAAGGCAAGAGTGCGACCTTTTGAGAAGAAACTGCCATAGGACCTGGAAGATATCAATAGTTGCAAGCCAGTGGCAAAGGTAGGCAAGGTGCTCACACATGATCCCAGTCAGATCCAGGTTCTCTTGGCTGAAACCAATTTTCCAAGCCTATTTCAATCCATGTTTGGGCCTGGCTTGGGAATCAAAACAGCCTCAGTCATCTTGAAAATGAACCGTTTTGGGAGAGGAAAAGAAGCCATGCTCTCCTTAATATTTCAGTGGTTTTCAAAATCCTTGACCCATCATGTCTAGCTGCCCAAGTAAGGTGTAAATGGGACTGATGTGCAGTAGTTCTGCTTACACTTGGACAGCAATTTCCTGAAGGTGGTACGGGGGAACTTCAGGGTCCTTCAGGGTGAGTGAGGTAATCTGAGAGCTCAAAATGTGCTGTTGATGACAAGCAGCTTTATCTCCCCTTATCTCTGGAGTGAAGGGAGGCTGTTGTGTGAGCTCGACCAGTGCCTGGCTTCAGAAAAGAACTGAATGAGACGAGGTGAAAATATCATGCCTATCTTCCACTGCTTCCAGTCCATTTTCAATCCTAATGCTAGCTTTGACCTATAAAGCTCTATGTAGAGTTTGCAGAAGAGGCTCTGCTAACCTCCCCCAATCCAGAAAAGAGCATCTCAGCTAGTTTCCAGGGCTGAGTTTAGACGGATTCACTCCCTGCTGCGTGTGTGGTGGCTCCCACTGGTGCCACAGATCGAGTAGGAACATGGTGGCAGTACTGAGTGCTGCCCAGTGATGTCACAGTGAGACCTTTCCAGAGTAAGAGCAGCAAACCTGGCCAACCATATGGCAGACTCATAAAGGGGCTATGCAGTTCCCATGCCAAACACGCCAGTTTCCCAACAGGTGTCAATCCCTCTATGCGTGCAGGAAGTAGCATCTAAAAACATTGTTGTGTAAAACAAGTGATGTCTATCACTTGCTCCATCCCACCAATTTAAAATGTTTGAGGGTGCAATCGTATGTATGTTTAGACCAAAGAAAAGTCCACAACTCCCAGCATTTCCCAAGGAATATTTCTTCCTATTGAAATATACATAGGATTGTGTTTTCAGACTCTCTAGATCCACTTTTTTCTGCATGCATAGACTACAACAGCAAACCTATCGACACACTCACAAACAAAAGCAAGGAAATTACCTGCCCCAGAGGGAGTGATCCCTAAGCCATGCACTGGGGCTGGCTTCCAGCCCATGCTTCACAGCATCCCCATAATCCAGAAACGGTTTCTGATGTCTGATTGGGGGGGAAAAAGAGAGGTGAGTAATTAGAATTTAGCTCCATTCTTGAGCTAAATGGATCTGCAGCAGGTATTTGCTTATGACTATGGAAAACAGTAACTCTCAGAAAGGATCTCACACGTGCCTAGTAATGCAAGAGCAGCTTCACCACGGCACAGTCCAATGCATGCACAAGGAAAGTGGGAATAATGCAGATACGTATCTGTTTTTTTAGAACTGCTTCCATGCGTATAACGGTGGCTGCATGTGCTTTTGCAAATACTGACTTAGGTCCAGACATGTCCTCCCTACCCCCCCTATTAACTTAAAACCATACCATGCCTTTGGTGGTTACTCACTCCACCCTGGATCATAGCCACAGTTTTCAAGATCTTTTCACAAAACTAGCAGTAGTATAGTTATAACCATGATTATGATAATTCTGAGAGCTTGGAAAAAATGCCTTGAAAACTGAGGCTATAATTGAGAGCAAGGTAGGAGCTACAACTCCTATAAACCCTGACCACTTGGCCATGCAAGTTGGGCTGATGTGAGTCGTAATCCAAAACATCTGGGGGGCCATAAGCTGTCTACTACTGATCCAGAGCTCAGCTTGCTACTATGCAGTCTACCCGTTTTCACCAACTTGCTTTGCCTACGCCGTGAGTTTCCCCTCACAGAATAAAATGGGCCCTCCAAGTTGTTAGTTCTCATGGAAGAGAATCAGAAGCTCCTAGGCACATCGGGCTTTCTCACCGATATTATACAAACAAGGTATAAAAAGTACAAGAAAGCATCATGGAGGCTGTTGCACCCAGGCATAACGCGGCCCAGTGGCACACGCGTCATATCTGGTGTGAAAAACAGCTCTGGCTGGATTGGCTAGGCTTTTCCAGAGAAGGGGCCTTCTCTCAGGCTCAGTTTCCCCTCTGTGAAATAAATCATTCACATTCTAGCCTCCCTGATTTGGTGCATCTGTGCTTTAGACACATGAGAACTGCCACCTGGTCCAACTCATGTCCAAAGAATGGTGGAGGTGGTCCATACTAAAGATGCTGTGTCTTATTTATGTTATTGCCGCCGTGAGACACTGTAAAGGGCGGGATACAAAAATTTTAAAGAAAGAAAGAAAAGAAAGCCTGCTCTCTTGAGGAATCTCAGGCGTCTACATTTGCTCTTACTTGTTGCAGAAGTGGTGGGCGCACTTCACCAGGATGTCCATGCAGTGCACTGCGATGATCCCAATCACAACCAAGCTGACAGGGCCCATCTAAATAATGTGAGACGAAGTAGGAAGGGATTTAGATTTATGCCAGTGAAATCAAACAAGTTATTCCGAACCATCTAGAAAGCGCAGAGCTAGGGTGGTGCAGGAGATCCAGGTACGAATGCCCACTCAGCCTGAAGCTCCTGGGGTGACTAGTCAGCCTAGCCTTCCTCACAGGGTTGTAGTGAAGATAAAAGGGAAAGAAGGACAACCATGTAGGGTTGCGGAGTCTAAATGGCATGCATGCATGAATGCATGAAGTCACTCAGCAAAAAAGAGGAGACCCTCACACTCGAGGAGCAAAGGAACCCTGGTTTCTCAGACGGAGTTTGCATTACACTGATGCTTATTAAGGCCTGATATTAATAATTCACACAACATTTATATAGCACTGTTAAGTGCTCAGGGCTCTTCATGCATCCTCTCAAGAACCCTGTAAAATAAATGACTATTATGCCCACACTGTAGATGGGGGGAAGTGGGAGAGCTGAGGGTAAGGTGTCTGACGGTGAAGGGCATCTAATGGCATGGAGGAAATTTGCTGGGAACTTCCCCATTGGTAGCCATTCAGTTCCACGACTCTAGTGGAACCCTGGCTCATGACGGCCACCTAAACAGAGGAGAGGAAATGTGCCAAGCTTCCCACTGACCACACTCGAGCGCCTCCCGCCACTGCAAATGCCCTGGCTCTCTCAGGGCTCTCTCAGCAGCCCACAGACAGAGTCCGGCCTGCAGTAACACACAAGGCTCAGCCTCCTGTGCCCAGGTGGGAAGCCCACTTTCAGGCAGCAGTTCTGGAAAAGAACAGTCTCTGCCCATTCAGTGCTGGACAGGAGAGCCATTTTGCATTAAGTGGAATCCTTTCCAATACTTAAGGGGCAAACCAGGAACAACGGAACACCTGCATCTCGAAGTAGGAGGCTGCTCAATAGATCAAGGGGGACAGTGCCTTCCTTAGAGCAGGATAAGGAAGGGGAAAATAGAATGTGCAGGCCCTGTGCTGCTCATTGCTGGGCCGTGAAGCCTGCCCCAAGCTTGCCCGAGAGTGCTTCAAAAGGAGCAATCCAGGAGCTTGCTGCCCCACTATGAAGCCAACATGGTGCTGGTTTGCATATGGGCATGTTTTCTGTAACACAAGTGTATCCTCTTTTCACGTAAAGTTACTACCCTATTTTTCCTGATCTTATACTTCAGAAATGCCAAATACCCAAATTACATTATTAATATTACTGTTAGCTCCCTCTGAATCTGGCTTTTGGTCCTACTGTCCCATGGACTCTGTTCTTAACAAACAAGAAATGAAGGATGCACTTAACCTACATGAACAACTAAGAATCTTGGGGCACCTAAAAGCAAATTCATTATGGCATATGATGAGGTAAGCAACTTTCAGGGTAAAGTTACCCTCCTTGCTCAGCTAGAAGCCATATCCCTATTCCTGCGTTGCTGAATTTACCACCAAAATTAAGTGAGGAAAACAGCCCTTTTTTGAATGATAAACCAGCTGTTTGTTGATGAAATTCAGTGATGTCAGTGAAATGAGGCTATTTTGCTGATGCCAACATATTTTGGCAGCAAACAACTGCTTTATCCTTTAAAAACTGGGCTACCTGGCAGCTGTTTTCTTGTCATCATTGAATTCTTGTTGTCATTGGGGGGGATGCAAAAAAGGGACAGGGAACTGCATGCAGTCCACCCTGGCACAAGCTTTTCTGGCCTACAACTCACTTCCATCAAATATGTTACAATATAATTGCAGCTCAAGCTAATATTTTCTGCAGCTGGTGAAACTGGACCATAGTCCACAAAGGCTTATGCCATCATGAATGTGCTGGTCTTTAAAGTATCAAAAGATGTTACTGTTTTTTCTTCCACAGAATAATGTAGCCACCCTCTGGGAATTTAAGCTGCATGGTACTTTTGTCTTCTTATTATTTTCTGCTTTTCATACAGCTATTCTATTTTGCAATTCTATTATTTGAGTTCTAATGAACACACGATTTATAGGTTCCATGCCATGAACATGTTTTTCTCTGTGTTCATGTTTCAGCTTCTCCTTTCAATGGGAGTTCTTTAAGTGTGGTTCTATGCCTCTTCTCTCTAGCTGCATCTTTTTGATCCTTTTATTCCCTCTTAAGATTCACTGTCCCTTTCACTTTCAGACCAACAACCAGAAGCTCAACACCTCTTTGCTTGCTTTGTTGCTATTTCCAATTTCTCCTTATTGCCTGACATTCAATGTGTAAACGAGGAGACATCAGAACTAGCAAGAGAAGAAGATATATCACTGAAAAAATAAGAACTTTAAAGCCCAATTAACTTACGTTGGGTTATAGTAACACTCTGCCTTCTCCCCAAGTATTTAAACTGTGAGCCTTTTCCAATTTTTCTCCTTTTATTCATATTCCTGTAAAAACCATTATCAGTCAACATTTAAATGTTGCTGAAATTCATTCTCTTTTTGACTCACTCTACTGCCAGTCTTTGCTTTACTGTTTGTTTTAACATGATTCTTTTATTTCTGTTTTAACAAACTCAGTTTCCTCTATGCTCACTACTACTGTTCTTTATTCTTCAATCCCTTGCTTTCCTTCTTTTTTAGGGTGCCTGGTCTGTTACCACTCCTTTCTTGCCTAAATTACACCTTACTTTAAAGTACTTCAAAGGCTCCTAGTAGGCAAAACAGTGAAGCTTAAAAATAGGTCATTCTTTCTTGATATCTCCATCTATTCTCCATCTATTCATAGATGGCCATCTGTACTGCTCATATGTGTAAGCATTCAAGCACTGGAACAATCCAAGAGCCAATTGAAGGTGTATGGATTTCAGAAGCAAATTTAAGCAATTGCCCTATTATTTCCTCTTCCCTTTCCCAACTGTCTTGTCTGCTAGACTGTAAACCTGCAAGGCAGGGGTCTTCTTCTCTTTACCTGATAATTCATGGTACATAACATCAAGGATTTTAAATTGATAATTATACCAATAACTTGTTTGTAGCTAGTTCAGTTCTTTTATATGCAATGTACATTACAACAGAACTAGTTTGATGCAACAAAGCTAAATTGTGGGCTACATGATCTGAAGTATACATCCTTGAAGAATCCCACATTGCTGGAATGATTTCAATATCCATGTTGAGACACAGAAGTTAGGGAGTGATGCCTACACACTAAAGGGAAGTGTTTTCAATTTATGACCTGCAGACTTGATTGCCTTGGTAATTATTTCATGAGTCAGAAAGTATCCCAGCTGAACTGCATAATGCACAAACAGACAAACTTCCATGCTCTTAGAAGCCTTGTTGGTAGAACAGGAAGGAGAGGATCCTGAATACATTTTGGATAATTTTAATGACATTATTTAAATTGCTAGGAAATGTAAGACAAATAGGTCTTTCATTGCAGCCTTCTGTCTAATCAAGGGCACATGTTTTCTGTGATATGCTTACATCCTGGATTCAAGTAGAACTCTAAAAGCAGCCAAGGGCCATTTTCATAGATAGCAAAAAATTACTTCCCTGACTTCTTTTTCCCTCTTCCCATCACAGCCCTCAAGCCCCGGTAGGGAATTTGTGACCAGATACAGACATGTAGACATTTCAGTAGCAGCTTCCAATATCTGCTTTGAAGCAGTGGGACCCATGAAGGATAACAAAAACAATAGTTGGGAGAAGCAGACAACATATTTTATTTTACGTTTGATATCTTGGTCATTCTTCTGTAGAATACCAGCAGCTGAACCTCTAGCCTATCCATTTCCAGGACTGCATAGCAATATTTTGTAACTATAGCAGATTAACTCAGATTATTCCCCAGTTCAATTCTAGAGAATTTGAATTCTCTGATTTTCCCCATAACTAAACTCCTAAGCTGCTATCCTATACATGAGTACAGCAAAGTAAGCTCTATTTGAATTCGATTTAACTTAATTCCCAATAGATATCCACAGGACTTCTCCCTAAGTCAGCAATACGAGGATCAATTGTGAAACAAGGAAAAAGATACCGATTTAATTAAACCTGCACGACAAGAAACAAACAAAGGTTGCAATGCAAAGCAGCATTCTTACCACAATGCCAGCATTTCTGATGGCTAATGGGAGACCCAACATGCCTGTCCCAATGTTCCCTTTCAACAGGTGTATTAAGGTTTGGAGCCATCTGAAGAGAAAAGAACAGAAAGAGATCACTGAGTACCTCAAAGGATGCAGCCCCATTGCTTCCAGGCAGAGTCTGCCAAGGTTATGTATTCAGGAGGTAAGGTGGAAACACAGTGGAAAACCTGCACATACATTTCCACTGGGGGAGGCTCTAAATGGCTAGAGGGGGATGCTCTAAATGGCTCGCATAATATAGATGATTGCAGCTATAATTTAACATCAAATTGGTACACATATTTGATCATTACAGAAGCTTCTAGATTGTGGTACATTCATGTTAACAACACTAAACTTTATGTATTTATTATATTTATAGCCCACCCTTTTTCCTGCAAGGAACCCAAGGCAGCTTTCATCATCTTCCTTCTCCTCTTCATTTTACCCTCACAATGGAAAAAAAATATCACTTGTCCAATTTCTCTCTCTCTCTTTCTGTGAGGTAAATTAGGCTGAGAGTCAGCAACTGGTCCAAAGTCACCCAGTGAGTTAATGGCCAAGTGGGGGATAGAACCTGGGACTCCCAAGTCCCTGCCTAACACTCTATGTCATGTTGGCTCTCTATTAGTATTAATAGTAATATTTTGTGTTTTCAATGCAAGTTATCAATCTGGTTTTTGCCACAACAGAACCATATAGGAGAAGGCACTTCTATGGTATTCTGGACCATAGGCTTTAATGGCCAATATAAGCTTCTTTACATTAGTCTAGAAATTATTATTATTATTATTATTATTATTATTATTATAACATTTCTATGCCGCCCCTTGCCGAAACCTCGGGGCGGCTTACAACATGAGAAATAAACCAGGGACCAGCATACCTCACAAAAGACTGGTGCCATGTCAACCTCCTGGGAGCTAATAGCATTCTGGATAAATTGAAGTTCCTAGGCTGTCTTCAAAGTGAGCCCTACATAAAGAGGCCGTATCTACTGAGGCCGTATTACCAGATTGCCCTTGTATGCACAACAGATCCTCAATTTACAAGAAAGTATGCTGCTAGTGTATCAGCTGAAGCTGTCAAAAAAGCATACAGCATGTGATGCCACTGTGCAGCTCTGAAAAAGCTCTCATCTCTAGCAGATGCTCAGTGCAATCTGAAACTCATTTTCGTGGAAAGTGTGGCAAAACAAATTCCCAAGTAAAGCCATAATAATAAAGTCACAAGAGCACAGTCTTAGCAATTAGAAAGAGAGGGTATTTGTTTAAAGATAGAGATGTTGTTCTCATGTAAAAGCCTAAAAATTCAAATACCTTTCGAGACATTGATAAGATCACCTTTTCTCGCAGGAGCAAACATGGCTATATTGGGTTTCCTTAAAGTCCCAGCTTGTTCCTGCATGTAATCATGGCCTGTAACCAAATCTGGGACTTCAATGAACCAAATTTGTAAGACAGACTGAGAACAAAGCAAAGCTATGGCTCATTATTTTAATGAGTTTCAGTACACTGAATGAGGGCAAGGGGCAGGTTTTCCATGTTCAAAGGAGCTTGGAGGAAATAATGCAGATGGACAACACATCAATGAAAAATGTGTACTTGCAAGTTACGCTTTCCTAAGGGGAAAAGGGCCCAGAAGAAATTCAAGTTCCATGCCCAAATGATCTGAAACCACAATAGTCTCAGCTGGCTGGACTCATGCTCCCAAGGGCCTAAGAGGTGCAAGCCCGTGGGCCACAGTGACTGTCACATGAAAGAAGAATTCGAGTACATGCCCGAGTCCATTTTCTCAATAGACCCAGTGCGCTTACTCCTGCAGAACTAGGACATACGACCACCTCCTTACTCCTATTTCTATCTGAAAGGAGCCTGACCTGATGAACAAGTTTCTCTCTTAGTTAAAATCAGTTAGCCCAGCCTTTCCCAAACTGCTGCCCTCTAGATGCTTTGAACTTCAAGTGCCGGCAAACCCAGCTGGCATGGACAATGGTCAAGAATGCTGGGAGCTGTAGTACAAAACAACTGCAGGACACCGATTTGGAGAGGCCAAATTAGCCTATCTACAACAGGCACACAGACGTATCCTGATGAAGAGCTCTTTAACTTACGTTGTCCCATTTGCTTCGCCAAACCGTTGGTACGATGAAGGGCTGGAGAAGTTGCTCGGGCCGTCTGGGGGGCTGCCATCAGGAGTCACCTCTGTTGAGCTGTAGTCATTGTAGTCCTCACTGCACAACCTCCTGGTGGACATGGTGACTGTGGGAAAAGCAGGATTAGATGCCATCGTTCCTGCTAGCTCCACGTCTCCCCCAGGGGCTGCTGTGGGCTTCACTGCATGGGCCTTCTCTGGATGGGACATTGCTGCAGTGCAAGTGTCGTGCTCCTCTTAGTGGAGCAAGTTCTGCCTGGAGGAGTTATATAGCACCACACCTCCTGGTGTACCTGAGGAGTGGCAACAGCAGCACTCTCTCCTCAGCAGAGAACTGCTTTGGGATCAGCACTTTACCTATAATTATCACTAGAGTTGAAGTATAATCCTGTCAAAGTCCAGAACACCCACACTTTCCCCTGAAGGCAAGAATAATGCCCCATATTGATTTGTTCAGCAATTAAGACTACCATGAACATGATCGGCATAGGCTGACTGCAAAGCGTGCACCGGTTCTTCCTCAACCATCAGGATAAGAGGCACATCCCACACACAGAACAGGGCGGCAGAAGTCAGTGTCTGTTTCCTGAATTCTGCAATCTGCCTGCAAGGTATACTGATGACACATATAGAAAAAACCAAGGACCTACATATCTGTCACAGTTTAAACCACCAGGGCCTGCGATTTCAGGAACTAGAAGATCAAAGTATGCAACCAAAATTATGCAAAGACCCAAAGACTGACTTCTCCCTTCCATGCACACTGATGAACTTGCCTTCATAGAAACATAGAAACAGAGCGAGTCAGAAAGGGCCTCTCAGGCCATCTAGTCTGACCCTTGGCTCCAGCCTTCAAAGGTGGTGCTCTGTCTACTTCTAAATTTTGCAGTAACTTCACCCAATTTGGCCTCCAGGTATTGCTAATTTAAATGAATAAATCTTTTATACTTGGGGAGGGAACACAGCTTGCAGGATTTTCCAAAACCAACCCCCAGGAACTCCTGGTAAGGCTAGGAAAGAATCCTGCCTGAAACCCTGTCGAGCCTGCCTGAAACCCTGGGCTAAACGGACCAATGGACTGACTCTAATGTGGGTGGACTCCCTCTCCACCATAGGTGACCAGGAAGCCCAGTGCTGTTTCTACACAGCAGCTTGTTCTTCACATACAAGCCACCCTGAGAACCCATGGGTTGTTTTAGGGTTGTTCATTCCCATGCTGGTTTATTGCGTCAGCCTAACCTGGCAAGGCAATTTCCTCAAGGGTTGCAGAGAACAGCTAAAGAACTGCCCAGTCCGAACATCAAAAAAATAAAAATAAAAAAATCCCATGTTGCTCTCTTTTCATGATCTTTCCAATGACTGCCCTTCCAGCAATGCCAAAACAGCACCTTGGAAGGACTGACACTTTTTTCATGGCCCCCCCCTCTCTCTCGTGCTAAAAATGTGCAATTAGAGTTGTAGTTATTTTCAATATTATTTTATCAATTTTGCTCAAGTGTGTATTTACAGCTATTCAATATGCTTATTGCCATGAGGTTGGCTAATTTGCTCACCATTGCAATGAACCAGGGGAGAAATAACTGGTTCTTTATTAACTGGTTCTTTAAGAGAAAGGAGGGACCGAGAAGCGCAATACAAACGCACTACAAATGGGGAGTGGGAAGACAAAGGATTAAGGTCGGGAGAAGGCGTCCCCTCCCCTCAGTTATAAGTGATGAATGGACACTTCTCTGTGTCCTCCAGCTTGTTAACATTTCCCTGATTCTCCAGAAGTGGTAGATATTAACTCCCTGCTACATTTTTATGGCTCCTTTTTAGAACAGTTACTGTGGTTCCCTGACCGTTTCAAAAAGACCACAGAAATGTTTGCAATGTAATGGCTGGGAAGTAACTGAAGGGGAAATTTATGTACCTTCATTAACTGCTCTGTTACCACAGGTACACATATTTTTCCTCCATTTACTTCCCAGCCTTTAAATTGCTGCCGATTCCCCCTCCATTAACTCCCAGCCATTAACTCCTCATGCGTGTGCTTGCGGGAGCTAATACCTCCCACTTTTGGAGCAGCCAGAGATTCAGGGAAGCATTTAAATGGTGGAAAACTGTAAGGACTGTCAGCACACTTAAAATTGTGAGGATTACATTGCTAAGAGGAGATATTGTTCCTTTCACCATTGCTTTTGACACAACTTCTTTTGCCACTTTTATTGATGCTTTACAATTGACAACTTGGAAATTAATTGGACCCTGACAACTGTGAGCAGATGAGTTTATATACAGTCTCGCATCGTCCATCGTCCATTTTCTAACAACTGAAACAGACAAGGCTACTCATTTGAGATAGCCATAAATGCACACTTGCAAAAGACTGACATAGCAATAAAATAAAAATTATGAACATAGTTGCACTTTTTGAGACTTCAAGGAAAGGCAGTGGTCAGTTAGATTAAAGGAGGGAGGGGTGATTTCTACAAAGGCCCCTGAGATAAGTGCTTGAGCCGGCGGAAAGACTGAGGGGAAGGAGATGGAGGCGACCCACACTATGCCCAGTCATCTGGCAGGCATCCTGTGGGTTGTTCAGAGAACAGCCAGTGCACTGTGGCTTATTTGCAAGCTGGTTCAGCATGATGGTGAATGCATCTGGTATAAGGCAATTTCCTGTGTCCTTATTCCTGGCACAGATTATGATCTGTTCCTGCTCTTAATGTCATCTGCGCCCAAACAAGCATCCAGCTTCCAAAATGTGCCTTTTAACTGAAAGAAAAACCATGCAGCAAAGCAAGAATAGAGGCACAGAAAATGTTTTTTGCCCAGGGAGACCAAGATAGTTCGAAGATACCCAGCACGCACCATAGGACTGGGTGGTAATGGACTTTAAACTATATTTCATAGTTCTTTAAGACTTTACGAGCTATAAACCTAACATGTATAAAGGAAGAAGTGGGTGATATGCAAGTGAACACATTAAATGCATGCATGAAGTAGACGCCTCTGAAGTAGCATTGCTCCAGTTCAGACAGCGCATTCCTGACCCTCCAAACTGCAGTCTGGAGGATGAGCTGAGTGCTTTGTGACAGTGAATCCATCCAACTACTACTGCATCCAAACCTGGACACTGCTTATACATTACTTCATGAAGTATTTTTCTGTTTCATGTCTCGGGCAAGAATGTGTGAGGCCAGAGAACTACTGACTCGGGCATTCTAAAGCACGAGCCGTACCGGAAGCACAATTTCTGTCAAGGGCCAAAGGCAACAGCGAGTGCTTTAGAGCCACAGGCCTACTGACAGCTTCTCCCACTGCCAGCTGGATGCTGTTCCTCTTGAACTGCGAGACCACTCACTGCACTTGCAAAATGGAGCCCTCGTGCTTTTCAAGTGGCATTTTATTGGGACTTTACTGGCTTCTAAAGAGGCCATAAGGTCTAGCTACTTTTTGTCCTTGTATTTACTTCAGTGAAATTTATAGCCAAGGGGTATTACAGAGGAGACAGTGTTCTAACCTTACAGCTGGGAACCAGAGCACTGGCCCTTTCTCTCCTGACCTCTCATAGCCAGCTGCACTCCAAGGACAGCAGAGTGGGAGTATTCTCCAGCAGCCAGAACACAAGGTATTCTGCAGCCACTCCGACCCCCTTTCCTCCCCCTCTGAAATGCCACTGCTAGATAGCCAAAAAGGTTACCTAGAAAAAATGCAGAGCAGCAGAACAGAGAGGTGAAATTTGCCTCTGCCACTCCATCCACCCTGCATTGGATGAGCATGTGCTTCTAAGTTTGAGGGCTTACAGTCATCTCCATAGGACTGTGCCATAATATGGTAGTCCTAGCATCATCAGGGCCTGCTTACAGAGGTATTGCCTAACCTAGTTCAGAAATCCATTCAGTACTGTGACCTCACAGCTGATCATATGCTGATTGACAAAAACAGCCAACCATTATTTCACAGATTCAACCATAATTGGCATTTTTGGTTCATTATAACAGGTAGCATGGTATGTGTGTGTGTGTGTGTGTGTGTGAGAGAGAGAGAGAGAGAGAGGGGGGGGGGGGGGGGAGAGAGAGAACGAGAACTATTTTGAAAGAAGATCTAACTAATTCTACTTCCTAAGGGTCAGATTATCTGTTTCCCAAATACAAAACAAAAAACCATTCTACTTGATGACCTATTAAAACATGACAGCCCCTGCAAGGAACTCAGGCTGAACTTGCCACACCACTCACATGTTTTGTCAGAGGATGAATGTTTCCTGTCCATGGAAGCATTGTTCATAGAACCATTATTCTGCCCTAGGAAGTTTAAACACCAACAGTACTATAATCTATGTTCAAGATTATACAGAATCCATTATTAGGTGGGTGAATGATGTTTTGCAAGACTGGGAAGACAGTCTTTAAAAAAACCCTTGCCTTGTCTCAGTTGTATTGGTCTGAGTGCCAGACCAGGAAGTGGAAGGTCCAGGTTCTTGTCCTCGCTCACCATGAAACTTACTGAATGACTTTGGGCCAGCCAGAGACTCTGAGCCTCACCAGGTTATTGTGAGGATAAAGTGGAGAAGAAAAGCATGCCGGTTCCCTCAGCATCCTTGGAGGTGGAAAAAGGAAGAGTGTAACTGACATAATTTTAGAAAAAGGAATAATAACTGCAGTGAGCCAGGTCCCTTTCTTTCTTCAGTCTTATCTCTCTGGATAACCATGTTGCTAATGAGTGTTCTCTGCAAATTCTCTGTTCTCTGACCATCCGGAAACCTCGGTAGCAGACAGGATATAAAAGTTTTAAAGGAATGAATGCCTGATTTAGCTAAGGCAGGAAAGCACTAAGAAATTCACAGACATCCTGGAATGTGAAGTCAAATGGGCCTTAGGAAGTCTGAGCAACAACAAAGCTAGTGGAGGTGACAGTATTCCAGCTGAGCTATTCAAAATCCTAAAAGACGATGCAGTAAAAGTGCTACACCCAATATGCCAGCAAATTTGGAAAACTCAGCAGTGGCCACAGGATTGGAAAAGGTCAGTTTACATTCCGATGCCAAAGAATGTTCAAACTACCGCACCACTGCACTCATTTCTCATGCAAGCAAAGTTATGCTCAAAATCCTACAAGCTAGGCT